CATGCACTTCCACAGCCCTTACAAATAACCTCCCAAGGTTGTCAGTCACGGGGTTGAGTGTTTGGGCCATTGGTGGAACTTTCCGGGGAATAGCTCTGGTCTTGCTTGTGGTCCCGACAGAAGCACGTCATGTTTTCATGGGTCATGACTGATACTTTTCCCTCAATCGGTCCAACTCCTGCTGACCCACATCGCCAGACCTCTCCATGTAGTTAAACAGCTCCCGGACAACTGTGAACAACAGAAACATTGAAAACACTTCTCATTTAAAACACATTTATCGAATTACGTTTAGTCATTTATTCCTTGGATAATTTCGTTTATTCAATCTTCCTATGGGGTGATGACGCAAACATGCAACCTTGCCAACTGTCAGAGGAGGCCCCATTAAAAGAGGAGCCTTGGCATAAAACGTGTACAACAACATCCCTTGTTTGAGTGCCATGCATTAATCCCCCTTCCTCCTTCATATGACTAAGAAATGAATCACTCATCGTCAACAAAACAGCGGACCATTGTTCATCGTCAACAAAACAGCGGACCATTGATGAAATATACAAAGCTGGCGTACCACTTTGACTTCAAGAAATGATACAACCACTTCAAAAGCAGTCTGCAGGAAACTTTGTTGAGTTCAAGATGCCATCTTGTTTCATTTTTGGGGGGTCAAATGAGGTGTCTCCCATGACTTTCTGCATCGTGGCATCTTGTGTGCGGTCGGGACCAAATCGAAACTAGGCTCAAACCAACCTTGTTTGTCCTTGGAGGACAGAAACATGACATTCATGTCAAATCTCTTCACCTGACTGAGGCCCTTCAGGGTCTCATAGACTGGATTGTTGTGCCTATTGATGGGTGAACAGAGAACCAGATAACTAATAAACAACAACCACAGAAACTTATACTGCCCTGGTACATGGCAATAAGAGATGCTCAGTAAGCATCGTAAATGAAGTCAGCCATTACATCCAGTAACATTAAATGGAATAAAAATGAAACGCAAGAGCGCTTCTTGTGGGCAAAGTGTCTTCCTAAGTCATATCATTCCGGCTGCATTCACGTGTCACTCTTCATGCATTTATCTCGCATAATATTCCCCGAATGATTAAATTCTGCATTTGTGTGTTTAGCCGATCGGCGTCGGGTTTGTATTCTTCACAGCCAGTGCCCAGTGAAGGAACGCCCACAGGGACGAGGCTTCCTGCATCACATTTCATTTTGTGCGCGCAC